TTAATGTCTTATTTCTAAATAAGTTCAGCTATTAAAAATGAACTGTTGTAATCTTCCTAGGATATTAAAAATGATAGTGCACAGACCAAATGTTATTTTTAAATAATTCCTGACATGGACTGGTACCTGTCTCAGCATTCTGTTTATGATGATCTCTCCATATATAGAAATGTGTTAATACAAAGTAATTACTTCATCCTGTTCCTTTTTAATGAAAGACAAAAAGGGTGTGGACCCTGAGGGGAGGGGAAGTGGTGAGGAATTGGGAGGAGTAGAGGGATGGAAATTGTAATCAGGATATACTGTATGAGAGAAGAATCTATTTTCAATAAAAGGGGTGGGGAGAAAAGAGAGATCCTAGGAATTTAGCTCAGCGGCACTGGCTTGCCTAACGTGTGAAGTCAGGGGTTGGATTGTTGGTACCAGAAGCAAAAAGGCAAAAAATACAAAAGACCACTACTATTCAATAATTAAAAAAAGCAATTACTTCATATCTTTGTGAGTACTTTAGCACTAGTAAATAATTAAGAGATTAATTTTATAAGAAAGTATAGAACTCAGATATTAGAATTTCTTGAAACTTGTTGCCAAGTCCAGTGGGATCTTTCCAAATTTATTTTTTGACTTCAGTCTTTTTCAAAATCCTAAATGGTCACTTTACATGAAGTGACAAGCTGATCTGAAAATTCATATGGGAACATATGTAAGCCCGAAAAGCCATATGAAAATCTAAGTAAGCCAGAACAGCCATGCTACCTTGAAAAGGAACAACACCAGAAAACTCACACTTTACCATTTTAAGATTTAATGCAAGCCTACTATAATTAAGCCAGTATTGTTGTGTAGAAGAAAAGATATTTAGATCAATGGGATAAATCTATAAGTAAACTCTTATACTTGGGCAATTGATTTATCTACAAGGACATAAAGACAATTCGGCTGAGAAAGATCAGTAAGTAACTAGACAGTCATGTGCAAAATCCCATTAATTTGGCCACCCCTCCCCTACCACAAGTATTAATTCAAAACAAATCAGAAAGCTGGATAATGGCTCACACCTGTAATCCCAGCATTTGGAAGACTAAAGAGGGGGATCCCTAGGAGTTTGGGGGTTAGCCTTGGCTATAGCAATAACTGTCTTAACACAAAACCAAAAGGAACAACAACCATTTGTACACAATATTCATTGTAGCATATTAATAACCTAAATTTCAGAAATAACCCAATGCCAGAGAACAAGATATAACAATATGATTCTACTATTAAAAGGAATGAAGGGTTGGGAATGTAGGTCTGTTGTAGCATGCACATGCTAAGTGAAGGAAGGCAGTCATTAGCTCATGTTATATCATCTACTGATGTGAAGTGTCTAGAACAAACAATTCTACAGAGCCGGAAAGTAAGTTAGTGGCTGCCTACAGTTATGGAGTAGAATGGGGAATGTGGCAAGCTTTCTTTGGGGCATGATGAAGACTAAAGATTGTTCTAGACTAACTATTGTGGGGATTGTTGAACAATTCTCTGAATATGATCAACATTACTGAATTATAGACCTTAAATGGAAAGGTTTTTATGGCACAGGAATTTCCTTCTATATAATCTTAATAACAAAACATGGTTTTTAGACACCATTTTATTTTTAATTACATGTATGTGTTTGTGTATGTGCTGTGGCAATGCACATTTGAATGCAAGTGCTCTCTATTTGACTGACTTTAATTTCCTTGTTTAACAAAATCCAGAACTGGAATTTTTAAATTGAAATTAATTTTTTACACTGCAGCAAAATATAAACAATGACTACACCAGGAAAAATGATCTCTGGAACAAGTATGAAATTGGTCCTACATACAGCTGCTGTAAGGGCATCTAAGTACATCTTTCTGACTCACTCAGGAGCCAAATGGTCTTCAAAGAAGTCACATACTCAACAAGATGCTGGAAGTCTCTTTTAGAATAATGGAGAATACAAGATTTCTGGAAAGCTGAGGCAAGAAGCCATTGACTTAAGACAACCTGGTTAATTCACCCTTAGGAAGCAAGGTGCAGTATATGGGAATCACGGAAAGGAACCCAAGGATATTACATTCTAAAGTTGGAAAGAAAAAAAAGACAACAATAAAGTGCAGAGGGCTCTACCCTAAGGATAGCAGAGAACAGGAGTGTTCCCCAAAGGAATGGGAGGGGCCCATTCCTGATGAGTCAGAGTTCAAACAATGGAACACACCTACCTGCAGCAAATAGATTGCAGTCATGGCACTGAAATAATGGACATAGGATAAAAAAACAGTCCAGATAAGAGTGAAGCATGGCATGAGCAAAATGGAGAAGGATTCTCACAGCAAAGCAACATAAAAGACTGGGCACAAAGTTTATCTGAGTGATTAATTCATGTGACAGCTCAATGCCTTATTTAATTCTGAGACAGACTAATGATGACATGTAGAAGTATGATGGGAAATAGCCATAGTCAGCACTGTGCATGTTCATTGTTTTTGGAAAGAGCTAGATAAATACTTTCATTCATCTTTGTCTTTGACTATGCCCAGCTATCCATTTTGCAATTTTATCTTTATTTATTCATTTGTGTATGTGGTAAGACATGGGGTCTCACGCAGCCCAGGCTGGCCTCATACCCTTGATTCTCTTGCTTCCACTTCTCAGTGTCAGGCTTACAGACTACACCACCACACCCAGTTTATGCAGTGTTGGGAATTGAACCCAGGGTTTCTTTTTTCTTTTTGTTTTTTTGAGACAGGGTTTCTCTGTGTAGCTTTGGAGCCTATCCCAGAGAACCCAGGGTTTCTTATATGATAGGCAAGCTTCTATCAACTGAACTATATCCCTACCACCATTTTGCAAGTTTAAAGAGGCAAAAAGCCCATGTTTTTCCACATTTCTACTTGGGTTTAATCCAGTGGTTCTTAACATGTGGGGGTCAAATGACCCTTTCACAGGGATCACCTAAGACCATCAGAAAACATGATATTTACATTATGATTTATAATAGTAGCAAAATCACAGTTAAGAAATAGCAACAAAAATAATTTTATGGTTGGGGTCATCACAACATGTATTAAAGGGTCAGAGCATCTCTAGCGCTACAAAAGAAGAACGAACTAAAACAATTCTTAGTGAGGCATAGTGGCTCACACCTGTAATCCCAGCACTCTGGGAGGTGGAAGCAGGATGATTAGGCCAACCTTAGCTAGTTCCAGGCCAGTCTAGACTAGCAAGACACTATCTTAAAAAAACAAAAAAACAAAGAATAACAAAAAACCCCACAACCATAATTCTTCCCTATTAGGTAACCTAAACGTTGTCTTACAAGGATGCTGGGTAACTTACAAAATAGCTTTCATGGGCTGGAGAGATGGCTCATAAGTTAGGATGCTTTCCACCAAGTCTAATGACCTGAGTTCAATTACTAGAACCCACAAAGTAGAAAGAGAAAACCCACTCCCTCACACTGTTCTCTGACCTCCATATGCACACTCACCCACACATATATCCACACATACAAACAGAAAATAAAATAAATGAGTGAATGCAATAAGGAAAAAAGCAAATCTGGGGCTGGAGAGATGGTTCAGTGGCTAAAAGCACTTGCTGCTCTTTCAAAGGACCCAAATCTCAGCAGCCATATTGGGTGACTCACAACTGCAGCTAGACAACTCCCTCGCCTGGCCTCACAAGAATACTTACACATGGCTGCATAAAACATACACAGATACAAGCACATACACATTTTTTAAAACAAACCCTCAAATTTACAAAAAAAAAAAAAACAAACAACCTGCTTTTATTATATTAAGGGACCTACCTAATGCACGTAATTGTACCCTATATGTTCATATATTTGGTTCTTGTTTTATGTACTTTGATAAGTTTTACTTATGAATTTGAAGGGGGTCCCCTCGGAGGCCAGAAGAGGGTGTTGGGAGTCTTTGGAGTTGGAGCTACAGGCAGTTGTGAGTTGTACCACATGGATACTGGATACTGGGAATTGAATACAGGTCCTCTGGAATAGCAGCAAGTGGTCTTAACCACTGAACCATTTCTTTTTCTTTTCTTTTTTTGGTTTTTCGAGACAGGGTTTCTCTGTGGCTTTGGAGGCTGTCCTGGAACTAACTCTTGTAGACCAGGCTGGTCTCGAACTCACAGAGATCCACCTGCCTCTGCCTCCCGAGTGCTGGGATTAAAGACGTGCGCCGCCACCACCACCACCTGGCTTTTACTATAACTTCTCTAGCTAAGCCATCTTGCAGAATTTTCTATCTAGTTGTCCTTTAAAAGTCTACTACCTGTCCTTAGTTCCCCTGCCTCCTGGCCCTTCACATATGACCCACTTCTAAGTTATTTACGTGCGCCACTCCTTCTGGAGCTGCAACTTCAGCTAGAACTTTACTCTGAAAAGTAAAGGTCAACCTAAGCCATGTCTTCATGTATTGTTTGTTTTTGTTTATTGATTAAGGAAGATAAATGTAGTAAAGAAATGAATGAATTAGATACAATATAAAAGAGTTAAGACTAGAAAAATTTCTTCAAACTCACCATAGGGAACATTAGCAAACAAAATTATGATGTATTAAGAAAGACAGATAAGGAAGGCTATCTTTTAAAAAGCATGAATTATTTTATGGAATTTCACTCTAAAGAACTTTAAAGAGTTAGGGAAGAGCATTCCTTTGCCATTGGTTGTGCTCTGTAATAAATTAGAGGTTTTCAATTTGCTTTAACAACTTGTAGTGTGAAGTAATGTTATACAAAGTCTCTGTGTAATAAAACCTCACTAATGGATAATTAAGACAAAATCTCACTAGATAAGTTGATAAAAATATAAGTGAAGTGTCTAAACTATCTGATAAACTTTTAGATTGACAGTATTATATCTTTAAAGGCTGCTGATTATGTGCATCTATCTAAAAACAATTTTTTCCCTGGGTATCCATTATAACAAGAAGCCAAAGCTGCTAAATGATATCCAATCCTAGACTCACCTTTTTTCTCTCCAGTGAAGGGCACATAGTCTTCCCGGTCTTTATGTTCCAATGCTTCCTTCTCTAGATAAGAAAGCAGATGTTCTCTATCAAAGGGTCCCGTGGCAGACTTTGACGTCTGGTTCTTCTGCCGAAACCCTGCAGGCAGAAGAGCATTCTGCCAAAGAGAATGAGTTAGCCATTATGACCACCAAATTACCAAGAATGCCATACTATATGCTTCTATAGATTTACATTTACATTTACATCCATACTATATGTAAGGAAAATCAAGAAACTAGCATGGCACAGGCATTGAACACCTCCTTGCAGGATTTTAGGATAGTCATGTGGGATGTATTACAAATTTTTTTTCTTTATTTAAACATGGATTTATTGATTTGGGTGTTGGGGAATGCATGTGCCATGACATATTTGTAGAGATCAGAGGACAACTTTGGGAGTTGGTCCCCTCCTTCCACTGGAATCTTTCATAGGTTGTCAGACTTACTGTAACTGCCTTTACTGCTGCCCGACCTGCAACAACAGCAACAACAATTTTCTTAATGCCTAATAAATGACTACTAAATATGTACGTAAGGGGCTGGAGAGATGGCTCAGCAGTTAAGAACATTGGCTGTACTTCCAGGACCTAGGTTCAATTCCCAGCACCCACATGGCAGCTCACAACTGTCTGTAACTCCAGTTTCAGGGGATCTTCACACCAATGCACATAAAATAAATTTTAAAAAATGTGTACATAAACTAAGTCTATCACAAAGGAACTGCAAACTACTATATGTTATTCCTTGTAACATATGACTTCCATTTGATCACAGAGCTTTTATCAAGACAAAAAAACATACACAGTCCAATATAAGACTGTTTACTTGACTTAAATCTAGTACAAACCATTCACTGTGTATGTGTCCATATGTACATATGAGCATTAGTATATGCTAGTAGCAATTACTGTCACTGCAATGCCTGCCTCATAGCTCCCTGAGATGCAAAAGAGCTAAGTCCTCTGGAGTGCACACAGCACAGCCTTGAGCACACGGACTGACCAGAAGTAGAAAGGGGAGGAATAGCTGAAGCCGCCCCCTGAAGTCAGGACTTTGAATGTGTATTAAGACCAGGAATAACAGGGTGACAAGACAAAGTGAGCACCATCCTGCTTGCCAAAAGTCAGCCTCAACCAGGCATGGGGGCACATGCCTGTACTCTCAGCACTTGGTGGCAGAGACAGGAGGATCTGGAGGTCACAGCCGGGCCAACCTGGGTTACAAGAGATCTTGTCTTAAAAAACAGACACACTGCCCTGCATCGTATTCTTGAGTATTCCTTGCTCTACAACTGACAACACCTCCTATTGCTAGTGGTGATGGTCAACCTCACAGATGGTATACATTTTCATTACAAAAGGTGATTTTTCTATGGACAATAATAGGAAATGATTACCTCATAACTAAAAATATTATGTTTATACTTTGGACAGTACCTGAACTCCACAAAAATTTTCATAAAATACTCATTAATTAGAAAGACTAACCACAAAGATCTGTTCCCAACCCTGAATATTGAATGTATTTACAGTTAAGAAAGTGACTGGCCGGTGGTGTCCCACACCTTTAATCCCTACACTCGGGAGGCCAAGGTGGGCGAATCTCTGTGAGTTTGAGGCCAACCTGGTCTATAAAACTACACAGAGAAACCCTGTCTCAAAAAAAAAAAAAAAAAAAAAAAACAAACAAATAAAAAAAAAACACACAAAATCAAACCAAACCAAACCCAAAACAAAACAAAACAAAACAAAACAAAACAAAACTGACTGTGGAACTATAAAGAATAAATAGGAGATTTCTACCTTTAGATGTTAAACTCTGAGAAGAACGACAAAGAACACATTCAGCCTGCAAAGTATCCAGTTTTACTTCCCAAAGAGTTCAAACATCACTTCCCCATCTCTGATGGCATGACTTGGGTGCAAGCTCTGGTGCAAGCTTGGCTGGAATGTTCCACTAGTGTAACTGACCTCAGGACATCCATCAGGTGCCTGCTCTCCTTCTTTCACGCCACTCATTCTCTTAGTCCAGGCTGGGCTCACACCTCCATTCTTGATACACTGAACTATTTCCTTCCTTGCTCTTGTCATACACCTCCTTCAACTACAACCTTTAAATATGTGAAACGTTTCCCTTCCCCTGAAGGTTCTGTCTATCCTTTCCAGTTACTCCTTCTTCAGGCTGCAGCATTGTGCCCTCAGAAACGTTTTTCCTGATGTCTCATTCATAAGTTACTGTCTGTAGCACTCATCATTCTTTTAACACAGTTTTGTTATCTGAGTCAAGTCTAGTTTTCCCCATACCTACCAGCCTGCATAACAGGGGCAAAAATTACATTTGATTTGTTTAATCTTGAGTTTCCCGAGGGTAGCATACTAACCAGGAACTGCAGGTTGTCCTCAAACATTTACTGAAAAAAAAAAAAGATTTCAGAGCTGGGGAATGAAGCTTAGTATAGTGCACACACCTGAGTGTAGGGAGCAGAGGAAGTCTTAAGGGAGTGTAGTCTTGAGTGAATGTGTACTGTTGACATAGGCATGGACATGTCAAGGACCCCATAGTCTTAGACACAGGGAGAAAATGGTAAGGCCTTCTCCTTGGGGATGGGCTTAGAAGTAAATGGTGAGCTGTAGGGGTCACCCTGACCACGCCTCCTGGGGCTGGCTACAGGTATACTTGTAGGGGCCCTTCCCTTCTGGTCCATGTGTGGATGTTGACAGTGTGTGCAAAAATGTCCACCATAGTTTTCTCTCCCTGGATATTCACAGCCAGAGGACTGCTCCCCAATGGAGATTGGTCCTACTGAGGCAAAGTGCTGCTAAACATTCTGCAATGCACAGGACAGCCCCTTAAAAAAGTCATAAATCAGGTTGAAAAAAACCAAAAACTAAAAACACCCAGGCTAGACAGTCTCTTACATGCTTTCTAGTTCTTAAACCATTTGATTTAAATTGGTTTCATTGACTGACTGCCAAATATATTGTTGACAGCTCCATTATCCTGAACAATCCCTCAGACTTAGGTATGAAAAGTTTTCCTTCTAATAGTAATTGTGGTCAAAGGACTTGACCTATGGTATAGACATACCACCTAGCAACAAAAACAATCTTATAAAGCACATTTTTAGAGTCCCTGCCTAAAAGTTCATGATACTGAAATGGCTGTCCTGGAATTCACTCTGTAGACCACACTGTCCTTGAACTCACAGAGATCCAACTGCCTCTGCCTCCCAAGTGGCTGGGATTAAAGACTTGCACCACCACTACCCAGAGATACCTCAATTCTTAAAGGGCATATAAAAACCAATGGCTTTAAAGAAACATGGTAAAGCTTTGCAAACAACCACTACCTGACAGTTCTTCCTGCTGCCCGCTCCTTCTTGAGTCACACATCAAAGGTTAAAGGGTTCCACATTAGTCTTGTGTAGCATATGAGACAATTAACAACCACTTAGCAAATACAGACAAGTGTACATCTACAATGTTCTTGCCTTAACAATGGCTCAACTCTAAGATGGTGTTGATTCTCATTTTCCATATAGCACACAACTGACATGATGTATTCAATAGTTTATTACAAATTAGGCTTTACATTAGATGGTTTTTCCCAAATGTTATTTAAGTGTTCTGAGCACACTTAAGGTAGGCCATGCAAAGCTATGATGCTGGTAGGTTATGTATATTAAATGTACTTCATTGTATAATATTTGCAACCTAGGAGGGGCTTACCAGTGACATAAGAGCATTGTTAAGAAATATGTATGCTCAGATCTGCATCTTAGAACTGGTCTACCAATGCTAATAACTTAAACCATTTGGTCATCCTTTCTCATGTACTGTCATAATTTGGTTTAGGCCATTAAGAACATTTTAGAGGCACAGTATACTAGCACCAGCCTGGTACAGGAACTTTGAAGAGAAACAGATTAGCATAAATTAAAGAGCTAATTAGCTATTACTACTTTCAATTACACAGGGAAGTTTGTAGTTGAGAAAACGATTGTGTAGATGTTTAACAATAGTTTAGAATGTCTGTCATAAGATGTGAAGACCTGGAGAAGAAATAAAATGCCAGTTCATTTGGATAGAAAACAGGTGAAGGGTACTAGGGAGAGCTATGAGAAAGCAGTTGGCAGTCTGAAAAACTACTGCATTTCTCTTCTTCAGTTAGCACCAACCTCGGGGTCGAGATCATCCAGGACAGTTTCAAGCTGTTTCAGCTCTGTTTCTGACAGATTGTTAAGGAGCTCATCTTCATCCAGGTCCTTATACTCAGTTAAGTCCTTCCGGAATGGCAGTGCCATGGTTCACAGTGTAGGAAGTCACGTGATTTGCCCCAATTCTTTTACCTATGGAGAGAAGAAACACCATTTATAAACATAAATCTAGTTGCATCTATTATTGGGGAAAGGGAAATGCTGTCACACACACTTTTTTTGTTTGTTTGTTTTCGTTTTTAGAGACAAGGTTTCTGTGTAAGCCCTGGCACTCACTCTGTAGATGAGGCTGGCCTTGAATTCACAGAGATCCGCCTGCCTCTGCCTCCTGAATGCTGGGATTAAAGGTGTGCACCACCACCGACTGGTTTGTCATACATTCTTGATCATATCATCTGCTATTCTTACCTACAGATCATTCATGCCTTCGCTATTTTGTCTCTGTAGAAAAAGAATCAGGTGGGAAAAAGGAAGTGAACGTGAAAACCATTAAAACAGTTACTTGATAGAATAACAATTCCTGCCAGGAGTTGGTGGTACATGCCTTTAATCCCAGCACTCGGGAGGCAGAGGCAGGCGGATCTCCATGAATTCGAGGCCAGCCTCGTCTCCAGAGCGAGTGCCAGGATAGGCTCCAAAGCTACACAGAGAAACCCTGTCTCAAAAAAAAAAAAAAAATCCTGATAACTGAATTTTAGTGGCAAAATAATTTTTTTTTCAAAAACAAAATTCTATCAATGATGTCAAATTATCTCAATGAATAACATCTGTTTTACTACAAACTGTTTAGGAGGGCAGTATGCTACAATGTCAACATAGGAAAAATAGCAATATGTGATGGGGAATGTACTGTGTATGTTTATCTTATTGATTGTTAAATAAAGTTCTGTTTGGCCAATGAGACAGCAAGTTAGTCAGGACTAGGAGTGAAACAGGATTCTGGGAAATGTAGTAGAGAAGTGGTGATTGGGCAGGAAGTGACATAGCAAGGAGACTCATATTTAAGCAAGAAGAAACAGGAAATGTCACTTTTCCCTCAGTGCCTCCTCTGGCAGCACCATGTGAGCCACGGGCAAGAGAGGGAGCCAGCAAAAGGCATCCTCTATAAGTCTTATAAAATATATAGATTTATGATAATTAAGACTAAGCTAACAGATGAAGAATCCTAGCCAAGCAGCATTTGAACCTAATACAAGTTTCTGTGTATTAATTTGGGCCCTAACTCAGGCAGGTGGCTGGCGTAAAGCACCATGGCGGTGGGGCTTGGCGGCTTTGGAGGAAAGATTTATCGTAACAAATATGTGCCTCACAGGAAGGAGTAGTTCCCTTGCCTCTGGGAAAATTAAAAAAAAATATTTTAAAAAATATTATCTTAGGAGCTGGAGAGGATGACTCAGGAGTTAAGAATACTTCCTGTAGAGGGTTTGTGGTCAGTTCTCAGCATCCACATGGGGTGGCTCACAATTGCCTGTGTTCCAGAGGATCTGGTACTATCTTCTGGCTTCCAAGGGTACTGGCACACATGTGATACACCTACATATATGCAGACACTCACAAGTGCACATAAAATAAAGGCAAAGGAGCCTTTCTAAAAAACACACTTTAAAAAGGGAAATATTATTTTGTTATTATTAGGTTGTTTGTTTAATTTTTTTTTTAAGACAAGGTCTCACAATATAGCCCAGGCTAACCAAGAACTCACTACATAGACCAAGATAGCCTTGAATTCACGATGAGCCTTCAACACTGGCCTCCTGAATACTACGAATACAGGTGCATACTACCATTCCCAGATGAAAAGATGTTTTTAAACAACAGCAAAAAGGCATTCTGAAAACACTTCATTAAAATTCTTTTTTATAATAATTACTTATTTTTATTTTATGTGCATTGGTGTTTTGTCTGTTGAGGCTGTCAGCTCTTGGAGTTACAGACAATTGTCAGCCCTGTGGGAATTGAACCCAGGTCCTCTGGAAGAGCAGTCAGTACCCTTAACTGCTGAGTCATCTCTCCAGCCCCTTCATTAAAATTCTTAAAACACACTGGGATGTGTTACCCAGTAGTTAGCAGAATGATCAAGAAGGCCTGACCACAGGGAAGGCTCTTCATTTGGTCAGTGGCTCTGCCTAGCAACAGTTAGGAACAGCAGCTATCCCCTAGATACAGCAGGACTACTCTAGAGGAAAGAACACTGGAAACATGCCACAACAAAAATGGAAAGCAGACAATCAAGTACTTCCAAATTTTCTGTCAGTATACTTGGGCCACCACATAAAATGTTCATAGGAGATAAGAGACAGTGCTTGGACTAGTGATTTGCCTAAATTTTTCTTCTCTGTGAAATAAACAGTATGACAAGGTCTGATTTGTATCCTTTCTTCCAAGAGTTTTTCCAGCTTAATATTTTAGCTGGTATATCTTCCTGTACAAATTCATTAAGGATCTTTTTGTCTCATGTATAGAAAGTAAGATTTACCCAAAGAGCCTGACAGCTGCTAATTTTACTAGTATAAGTAATTGGACAGCATTCATTTCTGCAGATGTTACATTGCATGCAGGCATTTTGTGTAACTGCAAAGACAGGCCTGGCTTACACTTGTTTAATGGCAATTCCTCTGGGCTAGCAGGTATTCTGGACTTCCTGTAGCAAAGCTGGCACTCCTCTTGCTTTAGCCTCCCACATACTAAGGATAAGTGTGTGCTAGGGTGCTTGGCTTACTTCTTGTTGTTGTTATTGTTTGGTTTTCAGCAGGTTATCACTGCTAAGCAACTCCCACTTTGTACTTCCAACTTTAAGATAATGGTTTGCTTTTATTTTTTTAACTGTCTACCCAGAGCCTTATGAATGCTACACAAACTCCCTACCACTGATCGACAGAGATCCCTTCCAAAAGTTCTCTAGCTTGAGTGCATCAGAATGCAGCCACACTTGTCAAGATCCAGATTCCAGAGCCTTACCCCAGTTTCCTGATTGACTAGTCCGTGTAAGCATAGGTCTGACAAGACTCCATAATTTGCATTTCTGGTAAGTTCCCAGAACTTTCAAATATATTAGCCATAAATGTAATGTTGAAGGATGTGATGGATAATTTTGAGGGGAAATTGCTTAAAATAAGATGGCTTTGAAAAATAGTCCTTTCATAAAAAAATCAGTAATGTGATGATTTGAGACAGGTAAGGGTCATAGACTGACAATTTTGCTAGCTGGACCTGTTGGCACAGACCTGTAACTTCAACCACTGAGGAGGGGATACAAGTTTGAGGTCTACCTGATGGACTATAGGTTGTATTCAAAACAAACCAGACAACTTAATTAAAAAAAAAAAAAAAGCTATAAAAGGAGGGCTGGGAATGTGCCTCAGTTGTAGTACACTTGCTTTGTGTGAGGCCCTAGGTTCAATTCCCAGTATTACACACACGTGTATACACACACACACACACACACACACACACACACACAGCAATTTAGCTTCCACTATTTTTCAATGTTTGGATACTCAATAAAAAGCTTTAAAATCAGCCATTTAAAATATAATAAGCTGGGCCACAGGGGCATACACCTTTAATCCTAGCACCTGGGAGGCAGAAGCATGCAGATCTCTGAGTTCAAGGCCAGTCTGGTCTACAGATTTAGTTCCAGGGTAGCCAGTGCTGCATAGAGAAACCCTGTCTCTCATATATATATTCTTAGCCAATAGTTGTTTCTCTAAAAATGTCCACATACAAAGATTATAATTATTTTGACTATTCTCTTAATTCTCTAAAGTGTCTCAATAAGATCCATAAATTCGAAATCACCATACTAAAACATTCTCAGGCACAATGGCAAAAAATGACAACACATATAAACAGTTTATTCCAGTATATTCCTTTTCCTTGTCCCAAGGTAAAATCTATCCTATGGTTTATGATATTACTTTAAGAATAAAATGAACACCCACAAACACACTCAACACAGAGACATTACCAGCACCAAGACATTACCAAAGGAGCTAGTTAGTATACTGAAATTATCGGTGACTCGCTTGCTCCCTAGAGTATGCATGTACAACTCTTTTGCAGTTTTTGTTTTTCCTTTTTATTACACCTTATATAATAAGTCCTCCTAGGACTGACTTCCTTTTTTTCATTTACCACTGCTTTGAGTTGATGCTTAGAGTTATACTTACTTCTACTTCATGTCAACATACTATTCCATCCTCTGAACATTTAACTTCCTAGCAGCTTCCCCCTCTATTTCTTTGCTATGATAATCCACTTATTTCCTGGTAGAGATGAACAATTCCTCTTTAGCTCAAACCTAGGAATGGAATTGCTGGGGAAAGGGAAGGCTTGCTTACTGTGGTGGTTTGAAAGAAAATGGCTAAAGGGAGTGGTACTATTAGGAGATGTGCCCTTATTGGAGTAGGCGTGATCTTGCTGGAGAAAGTGTGTCACTGTGGAGATCTCACAAATGCTCAAGCCACACCCAGTGAGACAGAGCATTTTCTGTTGCCTACAGGTCATGTAGAATTCTTAGCTCTTTCTCCAGCACTATGTCTGTCTACACACCACCATGTCCCACTGAACTTCTGAACTGTAAGCCACCCAATTAAATGTTTCCCTTTAAAAGAGTTGCTATGGCCATGGTGTCTCTTCACAGCACTAGAAACCCTAAGACACTTATACTCAACTTTGTTAGGTAAGGCCAAACTATGTTCAAAGTTGACTATGCCAATTTACATTTCTAAAAGATTCCATACACAACAATTCATGTTGCTCCTCTTTGCTTATTTTTTGTATTATCAGAATTTTAATTTTTGGCATTCTGGAATACATGAAATTGTATTTCACCATGGCTTTAATGTGCATTTGTTAAATTATGACAAGGTTTTGCATTGTTTTAAATGTTCATTTACCAATGGCATTCCTTTTTCTTTGGATCATCTATTGTTCATATTACAAAACACATCATCTTTTGTGTGTGTGTCATTTGTGCTTGTTAGCATGGATGTATACCCATGTGCAGCTATGCAAGCATATGCATGTCAAGGCCAAAAGTTGATATGGGGTTTGTTTCCTTGATCTCTCCATCTTTTTATTTATTTATGAGACAGTCTCAAAACAAAACAAAACAAAACCTGGACCCTACT